ATCAAAGATAATGTAGATATGAAACCTTAGATTCACAAATATAGAATAAATAGAATATTTTCTTTGTATTTACCAAATTATATAAATAGACTAGATATTGTAATTGTAATTCTTGCTTGGTAACTGTTTTGTTAAATGTAATTTTGCTATGTTGGAGTTGAAACCTTCCTTTTTGAGAAAAAAAAAGGGGGGGCAAGTGCTGTGGCTATCACTCTGTATGCTGTGAATGTGTTGCTCTAATTGGTTGATAAAACATTGATTGGCCAGTAGCCAGGCAGAAAGTGTAGGCGGGACAAACAGAGAGGAGAATGCTGGGAAGAGGAAGGCTGAGTAAACAGATGCCAGCCAGTCATCCAAGGAGCAACATGTAATGAGACCCAGGTAAATCCAAAAAAAAAAAAAAAAAAAGACAAAACATAGATTAATAGAAACGTGTTAGTTTAAATGTAAGAGCTAGTCAGTGGTAGGCCTGAGCTAATGGCCGAGCAGTTTTAATTAATATAAGCTTCTGAGTGATTATTTTATAAATGGCTGCAGGGTCTGTAGGGCTGGGCAGGACCTGAGAAAACCTCAGCTACAGGTGTCAGAGGAAGTAATGGAGAGTTGGAGTGCATACAACCAAGTTATACACTGTGTGCATGCATGCATGAAACCAAAGAATAAAAAATATCCAAAAAAATTTTAAATGTAGGGTCCTACCCCCACCCCCCCAATGCAATCTTCTACTTTAGATATGAGGGTATTTAGAGGCAAAATGGCTGTACTCTAGAATTTGGTCCCTGATCCTGTGCAGACAATGGGCAGTTCCAGACAGAAGGTGTTCCAGGGCCCCTTAGCCACTGTCTACTGCCTCCAAGGACCTTATCCCTCCCAAGAGTAGGATTAAAGGCATGGGCCACCACGCGCACTTGGCCCTTCATCTTTCAGTTTTCAGTTTCCTCTAAATAAAGGACTGTACTGTGAAAATAAAGTGTAACTCTAGTTCTACCTGAGGGATGAAATACAGATGTGCTTTCTAAGTGTGAGATAGAACACTTGTCATTCTAACTTGAGTATCTTCCACACTCAAGTGTGCACAGAATGACTCTGTGCACCATGCCAGCTAACATTACTTCTAGGACCCAAACAGCAGATGTTCTGAAATGTTGAGGTTCCTGAGGATAAACTGATTGACTGCTTGGACTTCAGTCAAGACTCTGACCACAGAACTCCAGGATTAACAGGATTAATTGATTCTGTGTTGTCATCAGCAAAGCCTGATGTCTTAGTCACTGTTCTGTTGCTGTGAAGAGACGCCATGACCAAGGCAGCTCTTGTGAAAGAAAGCATTTAACTGGGGGCATGCTTACAGTTTCAGAGGCTTAGTCTTTTTTTTTTTTTTTTTTTTTTATCATGGTGGGGAGCATGGCGACATACAGGCAGTCACTGGAGCCGAGAGCTACATAAGCATTCAAATGTAAGAGCCTACGTGACCATTCTTATCAAAACACCACATCTGACAGGGCAAATGGCAGTATCTCTGGAGGACCCATTGACATGATTGTGAACTAGTTGTCATCAGCCCAGGATCTGGCAGCTTCCACTTCCCCCGTTATTCCGAACGTCATGACCAACCTTCAGCTGAACTTATCTCCACACCTTCTTCTTATGGGCCAGCACTTCCCATGCTCACCTACTGCCCCCATATGGCCCTTCACAAAGGTGTCACTGCAAACACCACCGGGTTAGAACATCTAAATGAAGACATGCACACTCTGAAGTCAGATCTACGGATCTAAATGTTCAGGTGACGCTTTATTTTCTGTGGCTTTGGGCATGTCTCAGCCTTTATTTCTTCAAATGTCTTAACTTCCTTAAAAATAAAGGAAAGGGAATTATCCCCAAGTACCAGCCTTTCAGCACTTCCAGTTGACAATGACTAGTTTTAACATTTGTTCCTTAAGAATTTTGATTGTCGCCGGGCGGTGGTGGCGCACGCCTTTAATCCCAGCACTCGGGAGGCAGAGGCAGGCGGATCTTTGTGAGTTCGAGGCCAGCCTGGGCTACCAAGTGAGTTCCAGGAAAGGCGCAAAGCTACACAGAGAAACCCTGTCTCGAAAAACCAAAAAAAAAAAAAAAAAAAAAAAAAAAAAAAAAAAGAATTTTGATTGTCAGAATGTAAATGGCACTCAGCCAGGAGAAACGAAGCCAAATGTCATAACAATTGCACAGCAACTTTGAGTGGCATCAGTGCCAGCCTCTCACCCACTCCATCCCCCTCCCGCCCCAGAGCAAGACCATGGCACCTAAGGGGGCACCCTGCTCCCACTGCCCGCCTCACTCCACAGGGGCTGGCCTTCCGCGTCACAGTCTGGACAACCATCGCAGGAAAACAAACCCAACGCCTGCCTTGGAGAAGGTGCCGACCCTCTCACCTGTGCAAAAACCACCACTTCCTGGACTCTTGACTCAGGAGGGTCTACACTGGATTTCTCAGCATCCTCCCGATTATCCTTGTCCCTTTTGTTGACCTCGCCACTGTCAAGGTCCTAGCTAGATCCAGTCATCATCAACCCTCGGATCCCACCTGATCCAGCCTCATCGGCTGCACCGCCCCCTCCTGCTGCAGCTTCCCGACTTCTACAGGACGGACCACAGTGTCCAGTCGCTGTCCGACCCCCGCCGCCCCGGCCAACCCCGTCTCACTTCCTTTGGTTACTTTCGGTCTCAGGCACCATGACCTTGGTCACTGCTGTACCCTGAACACTCTCCCCCCCCCCCATAAGTGCCCTGGCCCTGGAGCATTCATATGACAGCAGCCTCAGAAGAGCAGGCACCACAGGCCTCCCTCCCGGAAACCCAATTCCTCTTCATCTCATGGGAAGCAGGACTCTCAGTGTAAGCACCGCTTCCGCGATGAACTACCTACCCGTCCTTGTCCCGCTCTGCTCACCAGCCTCTCCCTCCTGTTCAGACAAACCAGGCATGCTTAAACCAGGCATGCTTGTATCCTAAGATCTCTACATTTGCATCCCCTCTTTCTGCCGTTCCTGTCCCATGGGACTCCTCTGCTGTCTTCAAGTCTCTGTCCAGGAGCCCCCCTTTCAGTGAAGGAAGCCCTCCTGAAATCACCCCACATGACACTGAGTCCCCAACCTTTGCCTGCCTGGCAGTTCTCTAAAGTTCATGCTGTATCATAAAACCAATTTCACCCATTTATTTGTTCTGTATCTGTATCTAGAATGTTCCACAAATACAGTTTTGCTTGCTACTGTGCCAGGAGCACCTAGGATATTGTTTGGCACATGGTGACACTTGGCAATCATCATCTTCGTCAAACAATGTAGATTATAGGATTATCCATACAGACAAGAAAGCTGAAGGAGTAGGAAACTAAACTAAAGAATGGAGGATTAAGAATGACCATACATGACGACAAAAGACAAGCCTGTCAAAAAAGAAACAATTCAAAGCTGAGCATGGTGGTCAAGACTGTAGTCTAGCACTTGGGAGGCTGAGGCAGGAGGATTCCCATGAATTCCAGGCTAGTCTGGGATACACAGCAAAACCCTGACTTAAATAGACAGAGACAAACAAACAGCAAAAACCCTGCCTTAAGTAGATAAGAACAAAAAGAGATAGGCAGATAAAGTCAAGGTACAAATCATTTAAAATTTTCTAATCCAGGCATGGTGACACATGCCTGTAATCCAGCACTCAAGAGTCTAAGGCAAGAGATCTGAAAGATAGCCTGGACTACATAGTAAAATCCTACCTTAAAAAGAAAAGAAAAAGGAGGTAGGAAAAGAGAAATATCTACCTGTCACAGGGTAAGAAGTGGGAAAGAGTGAAATTTTAATGTTTTATTTAATTCAATGTATCAAAAAGGTTATTTCAACTATTATTATTCATGAAAAATTTAAATATTGTGGGGTTTTTATTGTTTTGTTTTATATTTTATTTTTTTCAGACAAGGTCTCTTTATGTAGTCCTGACCATACTGAAACTCACTCTGTAGACCAGGCTGGCCTGGAACTCAGAGATCCGCCTGCCTGTGCCTCCCAAGTGCTGGGACTAAAGGCGTGCGCCATCATGACCTACTGTATGGTCTTTTTCTAGTCAATACTTGGCACAGTGTATATCTTATGCAGAGCACATCTCAAATAGCACTACCATCTCAGTGCTCAGGAGCTGCATGTGGCCACGTGGCTATCATCCTGGAGAACATTGTTCTGACCCAAATTAAAGCCCCCCAATGAAAGGAGGACTGTCTCAAACACCCACTCTTCACTGTTAACTAGGGTCCAAAAACTCTAAGGCGGCCTCGTGCTTTACGAGCTTTGTCAAAAAAGCTTCCAAGAAGGGAAGAGAAGAAACCATCTCTTCTGGGAAGTCACTGCTATCTGATAACTGGCTGTGCTTTAACTGCAGAGGCCAGGGTCCTTCCGCCTGCTCCCTGTGATGAAGAAACAAGTCCAGAAAGACTCTGGCATCCTGTCTACGTGAGCATGACACAGCCATTATTTTCTAAGACAACTGTCAGCACGGTGTCCGCCAGACTCCATGGATCTCCGTCAACCCAAGCCCACTCCAAAGGAGAGACCTCACTCAGGCAGCCACAGCTGACCTGTCCAGTGTTACAGCAGCTGCCTCGCCTACACATTTGCATCTTAATAGCACAGAGAAACACAGCGCCAAGGAGAATGCTTTAAACATGTCAATACCTGCATGTAAGCATGTAAGCTGCTTTTAGAGAGTAACTATTATGTAAGGAAAGTGTTTCCATTACTTTGATCAGTGAGTTAGTTACCTTCCCTCAAAATCCCTTCATTTACACCCATTATAAAATCGCCATTATTTCCCAGTAGCAAAAATTTAAAGAACCCAATTAAAGTGCACTGTGTTTTCAAACCTCGAAGTTCTAAGAGTCTGCATTGTGTGTGTGCGCGCACATATGTGCGCTATATTTGTTAAAAAGCTGTACAAGAAGCAGGTGGGAGGGTGGGGTGGCATCTACTCACCAGTGGCTCTGAGCTGTGCTCAAACCCTCCTGTAAACCAGTACTCAGCGAGGGCAGGTCAGAAGGCAGAGACACTGCAGACTCTAGCTGGCCCAAGTCTTCTACCCGCAGAAGCAACAGAAGGCCTGTGGGAGAAAAGAAACTGTTACATCAGGACAAAACCATCAGGAGACCAGAAATCAGCCTGCTTTCATTCCTTTCCTTCTGTGTTTTTTAGAGTGTGCGCGCTCAGAGCAAGTTAAGTCGTCATCTTGGAATGGTGGGTGACAGGACAGGACCACCTTTTGTACTTATTACGTTCTGTGTTAAGACATCCCTTCCAGCACAAGCCTAGGACGGCACAATAAAATATACACATCCTGCAGCACACCCTGGTCACCTTTTACCAATCTAACGACCCTTCATTAGATAAAATCTGCTGTCCCTAGCCCTACAACTGGAGATGCTTTTGATTCAAAAGGAGGGGGAACATTTATTCATTTATTTTTATTTTACGTGTATTGGTGTTTTGCCTACATTCACATCTGTGTGAGGGCATCAGGTCCCCTGGAACTGGAGTCACAGACAGTTGTGAGCCACCATGTGGGTGCTGGGAATCGAAACCGAGTCCTCTGCAAGAAGAGCCGGGGCTCGAACCACTGATTAAGCTCCCCAGTCTGGGGGGAAACAATTCAAAGACTGAAGCTGGGCACCGCGGTGTGTATCTATAACCGAGGGAAGTGAGAGGCCAAGGTAGGAGGACTGCCATGGTCTGGAGGCCAGCTTGAGCTACACGGGAAATCTAGGACTATCTGGGACCAGAGAGAAGTCCTGTCTCAAAGATGGAGGGACAAAGGGAGGGCAAGGGGGAACAGAATAGAGGAGAGGCGAGACAGAGAATGATGGAATTATTGACTGATAAGCTGGACCGAAACTTCGGGCTTATTTTTAAAATAGGAAAGTGACTGAATATGTTCAATCAAAATTGTAAAGCTGTCTTTACACACGTGCACACTGAAAAGATCACAGATTGGGTGTGCACTGTAATGTACTGCCACTGTTTCCACTAACAGAATTGTCTTCTCACACTGGTCTCCCTGATGTTTTTTTTCGTGGAAAAAAAAATTAGCGTGCTCTCATTATTTTAAGTTTTTCACAGATGCTTTTTAAAGCCTGATTTCCTGTCAGTCACCTGAAAACACTGACCCCGTCAGCTGATCCTCCTCCACTGACACTAACAGGAACACCCTCTTCGCACCTGCTGGGGACCTGTCAGGCTCAAGGCGTGGTCTGTTAAATGGAGGCTGAGCTCTGCTCCATGTTTAACTTGGAACTGTCAATGCTTCAGCCTAAAGACTTTTCACAGAGGCTCTCTTTTTGCCTGATGTGTTTTTCCATCCTTGTCCCTCTAATCCACTCACCAGATCACACCTTAGCACACCACAAACTCAACACTGTCCTTTTTCTGCCTTGGAACTTTCCAAAGCTTCCATGACGCTCCCACTGTCTCCTGAGCCTTAAGGACTCCAAGGCCTGAGTGGCCCTGGCCTCCCACCTCCCAGGCTCCTCTGCCTAGGGCTTTCTCAGCTCTGTGGGTCTGCTCCCTCCACCACGCCAGGCCTTCCTATCAGAGATGGCCTCACAGGCTCCTACCCCAGTGGCCGCCCGCTGCGCTCGTCTCCAAATCCTCCCTATTTTGCTGCATTTGTTTATCTGTGTGCCTTTCGAGAGCCCACCTCTGAAAACCTTCCCGAGCTCCACTGGAGCCCTGACTGTTCCATGCTGGGGAGAGGAGACAGCACAGCGTGTAGACAGACCATAAACCTGGATGGCGGGAGAGGGCGAGTCTCCCGGGGGCTGCTCTCTTCTCACCAGGCTCTTCCAGGCTTCACAGGTGTAACAACGGCCTAACTCAACAACTTCGTGTGCAACCCCGCCTTTTAATACTGCACCTCTCCAGTCCCCAGACTGTAAGCCTCTGCTTGTTCTCAATGGACTCTACAGAAGGACAGTGGACTTCATCAGCTGGGCATAGTGGTATAGCAGGAATCTTAAAAGTTCTTATTAATAAAATCAAACCTGAGGTCAGTTATTGGGGTCCATGCTGGTAGATCAGAGAGACAGAACAAGCCACAGCTATCTCACCTCGCCGGATCCTCAGCTGGTCTGTCTCCTCAGACTGGAGGCCTCTGAGTCCTCATCCGGAATGGGTCTCAGCTGAATTACTGCTCAAAAGCCTGAATGCTCAACCAGCCAAATTCTTCTAGTTTCTGGTCCTCACGCCTTATGTTTCTTTTTGCTTTCTACCACCACTCCCTGGGATTAAAGGCTGGCTTTCTGGGATTAAAGGCATGTGTCACCATGCTTGGCTATTTCCAATGTGGCCTTGAACTCACAGAGATCCAGAGGAATTTCTGTCTCTGGAATGCTAGGATTAAAGGCGTGTGCTATCACTGCCTAACTAGTGGCTTGTCTGTTCTCTGACCCCAGGTAAGTTTATTAAGGTACACAATATTTTGGGGAACACAATACCACCACATAGTGGTGCACACCTTTAATCGCAGCACCCGGGAAACAGGTGAATCTCTGAGGTCAAGGTCAGCCTGGTCTACAGAGTGAGTTCCAGGACAACCAGAGCTACATAATACAGAGACCCTACCTCAAAAAAAGCACACACACACAAACACATCAACATGCCATTGTTTTCCTTAAATATCAATATAAATCCATACTGATAAAACCAGGATAGGAAACATAGATCCCAAAGACCTAGAAATACACATGTAAATGATGTAGCATAAAAACTAAATGCAAGGATAGTATTGTAGCTCATGACCAGCACTTATGTAGCCCTAGGTTCAAGTCCCAGAAACACTACAAAACAAAAACCTAGAAGAGAAGTCTAGGTGTAGCCATTATCCATAAACTGTGCTAGGTACTTAACCCACATTAGCCCCTTTAATCTAAAACAAACCACACTTTGGCTGTGTGTAGCAGACACACCTGTAATCCCAGCACTCAGGAGGCAGGCAGAGGAGGACTTTCAGTAAGTTCAAAAGGCAGCTTGAATTCAGATAGTTAAGACCCTTGACTCAGAAAGCCAAGGGCAGGGTCTACAGCTCAGCATACAGTTGGTTAATACAAAGTTCTCTCTAGTCACTCCACATTGGGAGTCTCAGGAGGAAAATGACTTTTTCAGGTACTTATCTGAGAGACATTTTTCCAGCAGCTTATCATATAAACAATACACTGGGGTCTTCAGACCTGTCCCCGGGGGATATACTGGCTGGTTACACAAGGTTCTGAGTTCAGTCAACAGCATCACCACACTTGAAAGCTACCCATGATGCCCCCCTAAATCACATTAGCACATTCCCTCACATTGCTGGCTAGGCATGATACGGCCCCAAGTAGCAGAAATTATTACTCATGTTTTACCATTTGTGGGCAGCTGGTATTTAACATCTGTATGAGAAATATAAGGCAGGCTAGAGGTTTTTTTTCTTTTTTTTTTTTTTTTTTTTTTTTGAGTTAATGTACCTTACTTAGGGTTTCTATCATTTTGACAAAACACCATGACCAAAAAGAAAGTTGGGGAAGAAAGGGTTTTTACTGGGCTTACATTTCAACACTGCTGTTCATCACTGAAGGAAGTCAGGACAGGAACTCAAGCAGGGCAGGAACCTGGAGGAAGGAGCTGATGCAGGGCCATGGAGGGGAGCTGCTTACTGGCTTGCTTCTCCTAGCTTGTTCAGCCCACCTTCTTATAGAACCCAGGACCAGCAGTCCAAGGCTGGCACCACCCACCATGGACTGGGCCCTCCCCACTGATCCCTAGACGCCTTACAGCTGGATCTCATCCTCAAAGCTCCTTCCTCTGATGACTCTAGCTCATGTCAAGCTGACACAGAAACACAGTCAGTACAACTGACCCTTGTCAACTTGACACACAAACACATCACTATTAAGTCACATCCCTTCCTTTCTTATTCATCCCCAAGATCTCACATTAGAACCGTAATTTTAAAAGTCCCACAGTCTTTACCAATTCAGACATTACAATTTCAGATTCTTTAACATATCCAATCTCTCTTCAAAGTTCAAGTCTTTCGGTTGTGGGCTCCTTTAAAAAATCAAAATTAAATACCTTCTTCATGAGGGAGAACCAGGGTACTGACACAATCTGAACCAAGCAAAACTGAACTCCAACAGTATAACTAACTCACTGTCCGGATTCACTCGAAATCTTCCAGGCTCCTCCAAAGGCTTGGGTCCCTTCTCCGGCTCTGCCCTCTGCAGCACACACAAGTTTGTCTTCTAAGCTCCAGCCGGCTCCACTCCACAGCTGCTGCTGTTCTTGGTGGTCATCCCATGGTACCGGCGTCTCCAAAATGCTAGGGTCTCGGCTGCAGCTGGGCTGCGCTTTCACCAATAGCCTCTCCTAGGCCCTCTTCATGGTGCCAAGCCTCAGCTTCTCTGCATGACCCCTTCAATCACAGGGCTTCAGCTGCTACTGAGGCTGCATCTTCACCAATGGCCTCTCCTGGCCTCTCACAGTGCGAATCCTCTGCTGCTCTCCATGACCCCTTCATGCCTTCAAAACCATTATTGCGTGGGTGATGCTTACACATTATTAACAAGTTCATCTGCCACACAAGGTATAACCTTGGCCGCCTCTGGAAGACAGCTTTTCTGTGCTCTCGGGAAACACCAGCAGGTTTCACTTCAGTGATGCTGGTCTCTTCTTCATCGCTGCTAACTTATTAGCTCCAGCTGACTAGCATCAACTATCCCAGCAAAGCAAAATTTTTGCTTTAGTAGTTCTGGTATCTTGTTAATCACAGCTGATTCTTCAGCCCCAGCTAACCAGAATCACAGGATCTTAATTCAAAATAACAAATGGCTATTATAGAGTCTTTAAACTTCGCTCTGGAATTTCACAATCCAGGCCTCCATCTTCTGCACTGCTCTTAAGATTATCTTCCAAGTTCCCACAGAACATGCCACAGAATTCAATAGTTCTTCCAGCCCAAAGTTTCAAAGTCCTCCCACAATCCCCCAAACATGGTCAGGTCTATCACAGCAATACCCCACGACACTGATACCAACTGATCTTATTTAGGGTTTCTAGTGCTTCGACAAAACA